TCAGTCATCAGTTATCTCCTGTTAATTCACCTCTCCAAGTTCTCCACTGCCTTAACAAGTTATTGAACTCACACTGTCACTGGATTTAACCAACACCTTTATCTACTGTGTCCTTAAAGACACAAGGCACAGTGGATAAAAAAATTATATCCGAAACTATTATGCACTATGTGTTAAGTCCTTCCAGCCCTCTTCATGTAACCAGAAGGCATGACTTTCAAGCCTGAATAGTATCAGGTTTTGATGATTTTATATATAATATAAAGAATAGCCAGTCTCTGGTCTTTTTCTATTTTATTTACTGTGAATATATTTAAGTTGTCGATAGAGCTATGAAGAGATGAAAACTGATTAGACTTTTTTTGTCTGCTTTTTAGTTTCTCGATTTATCTATTTACGTTAATTATATTTTTTGTTATCCTTGCTTTTGTATGATTCTTTGTATAATTTTAATGTTTGTTTTTATTGCAGTTGTTTATTTACAACCTAATCTATTCACTTGTCAACAGGGTGAATATTAATCATATAGGCTTAACACTATAGGGGAAAAAATTTCAGATTAAATTTAAGATAATAAGTACGTGTCAGGCACCGGGTTTATTAATCGATATTCAGATAAAAACAACGAAAAGACTACAGTGATTCAATAAAGATTTTAGAAGTAAGAGATAAAAGGATTAAGTCTATTTTGTTTTTATCATCGAATATCAACCTTAATGAGTTATTTAATACTGACAACATTTTTAGGATAAATAAGTATGAACAAAATATGTATTCTTTGTAAGAAATCAGTTTGTAGATCAGGTTTCAGTGACGTATTTTTGTAAGGGTTTTTTTTGTCGAATCAAGTGTATTGCTTGTAATATTTTTTTTCAAAAATGTATTAGTGATATTTTTACTATAAAAATCTATTTTATTTATTTTCAGTGTTTTGACCCCAGTTAGGATGTTAACTATTTGCCCATAGCTGGAACCCTAACTGTAGTTAAGAGTGGTTCCACGGTCCTCAAAATCTCCCGATTTGAGGCCTTACTACCGGATGTAGTTTATCATCATACTCAGAGCGCCTCATTGAGGGTGGGGATTACCCACCTACGGGGGTGAAGACGACGTATTCTGAAGACCCAACCAACAGGACAGGGGAATAAAAGAAATAAGCACTTTCTTCCTTTTAATCTATTAAAGTAAATTTACCGCTATAAAATAAAATCTAAAAATAAATTCAGAAAATTTTTTTAGAAAAAGTTTCTTTTCAAGATCCTTGATGAAGAATAGACCATTACCTTCACGGCGCTGTAAGGGCCGATGTGACAAGTTTGGGCGTCAATGTGCCTTTTCGATTCATAACTGATTGGACTTGACATTGCTTAACTTAGCTGGTTGTATGAGAAATGTTTCAAACTGATTGGACTCGACATTGCTTGACTTAGCTGGTTGTATGAGAAATGTTTCAAAGTGACTGGTCTCGACATTGCTTAACTTAGCTGGTTGTATGAGAAATGTTTCAAACTGATTGGACTCGACATTGCTTAACTTGGCTGGTTGTATGAGAAATGTTTCAAAGTGACTGGACTCGACATTGCTTAATTTAGCTGGTTGTATGAGAAATGTTTCAAACTGATTGGACTCGACATTGCTTAACTTGGCTGGTTGTATGAGAAATGTTTCAAAGTGACTGGACTCGACATTTATTAACTTAGCTGGTTGTATGAGAAATGTTTCAAAGTGATTGGACTCGACATTGCTTAACTTAGCTGGTTGTATGAGAAATGTTTCGAAGTTATATGCCCGCGACTGTGAAGCTCTATGTAGTCGAACTGTCAAAGCACGCAGGATACGGCGGTGGTTTCTTCTGCAAAAGGGGGGTCCAGGTTCGAATCCTACCGGAGGTCCCATTTTCTTTGTATAGTTTTTTTTTTCGAACGCGTTGGCCGGTAGACGAAATATAGACTGCTTAAAAAAACAGAACGTCTACTCAAATACGGGTATCGACGTTTTAATGAAAACAGAGACTTTGAAGAAAATCAGAAATAAAATATTGAAAGATCTTAGATACATAATGGGGAGAGACATCTGGGGGAATTTTAAACCTCACAGGGTATGTTGAAATCATTTGAAGCAATGGAAACACTGAGAATGTGTGTGTATGGCTGGCAGAATAGCAACGAATACTTATTGTAAAACGTCAACAGGTATGCCGAATAACAAAATAGCAGGAAGTTGCGGAGAGACATGTTTTTTTAACTAAGTTATTCAGTAATTGCAGTTTAGCTATCTGGCGGACATTGTTTTTAGTAGCCTGCAGATTTTAAATAAACTTTATTGAAACATCATTTAAAAACTTATGTTGAATTGCGTTTTGATCCACGATGAGCAGCTTTCTCATATGAATCTCAAATATCGGGTTCAACCAGCTCAGAAATGTCTAAACTGTCAATTATATAGAAACGTTCTCCAAGATTAATAATTAATGGATTTAACTAATTAATCCTTTTAGACCCTAGAAACTGTCGCTGGCATACAAACACCTACACCAAAGAACAGAACTGACATCACTTGTAGACTTCCAACAGCAGCAACAAATGATGATATAATCAAGTTGTTGATATTCGATCTACACTACCAAAAGATGAGAATGAAGAAATGACTAGAAAGAACTAGATAAGGACTAGAAGTGAACTTCATCATGATTTATTCAGTTAACGCATTTTGCGCCTATGTGATCATCACTCCCTCCATCTCATAACTGTGGCTCATGGTGACATTAAAAGCAGATATGGTCTGAAGCCCCCGCTGTTCGTCTTAAGGTCCTCGACAAATAGAGACAGATATGCAATGCGATTGGTCCTGATCTAGCATCTCGTTTACAGTCGCCCTCTCACAGTCGTGCCATCGCTTCCCTCTGTCTTTTCTACAAATACTTTCACGGTAACTGCTCGGACAAGCTACTTTCGCTGGTTCCAAAACTGCATGAATGTAAACATGCTACTAGGTTGGCATCTCAGTCCCACCCTTTCTCTGTTGAAACGGTTAAATGTAGCCGTCTCTTTTACTCCAATAGAGTCTCGTACTTCCCTGTGGAAATCCCTTGCGCTTACTTGCTTCCCTGCTAGCTATAATCTTCAAATATTCAAATGAAATGTCAATCCACATCTCCAGATGCCTTGATATAATTCCACGTCCTTCTCTTCGTTCTTTCTTCTATCACACCTCTATACTATTCCTCCCACTCTCTGTAACCCCTTGCGTGCTAGTGGCATTCACGCCTTGCATGGAGTGAAATTCTTAAAAAAAAAAAGTTCATTTTTTTCACCGGGGATGTTGAGTTTATTCCGTCCCTCCTCTCAGAAGTTAAAAAGGCAATACCTGCAAGGTTCGGTTTGCTTTGGTTTGGTTTGGTTTACGACATATCAACCTCAATGTGTTTTTTATACCGACAAAGTTTTTATTTCTGTTCATATTTCTTCAAAGAATGTATAGCAGGTAATATTTATTTATTTTTTTTTAGAAATGTATGGCTGATAATATATTTTGTTTCCAAAATCTATTGCTAGTAATAATGTATTGCTGGTAATAATTTTTTAGAAAGTATTTCTGGTATGAAAACCTATTTACATTTGCATAGTTTTTTAACCCCAGTTTGGGAGTTTGCCCATAGCTGGGAACCATGCAGGTGCTACCACGCCGGGAGCACTAGCAATTAAGAGGTGGTTCCACGCTCCTCAAAACCTCCTGATTAGAGGCCTTGCTGTTGGATGTAGTTTATCGTCTTACCCAAGACGTGGATGTAGGAAGCAGGCTGTTTGAATTAAGAGTTTCCTTTCTTCATATAGATCTCAGAAAAATAGGTTTCTTTAGTCAGTGAACTTAAGAAATCTATTTTCTCGAAAAAAAACTATTTTAAATCAAAGTTTTTATAAATTTTAACTGTTCGTTTAACGAATGTCGAATGTTTCCTATTGCCATCAGTTTTGACTTATTTTTCACAGGTATTTGTATTTCCTCTTGCAGTTGTTCCATATAGTGTTACTCAGAATGAATAGACGCTCCAGTAATTCGTAATTAAGATCTGCCTTTGCATCCAGCCAAACGCTGTTTATTCCGTTTAAGTTGAAATGTTGAAGGCTGTGCTTGACATTGTCACACTTGTCTTCCTTTTAGAGTCTAATAATAAAATCAGTCTTCATTACTCAAGGTCATCTTGACCAAAATGAACTCTCCTGAACTCGATCAAGAATCGAAGAACGTGCTTAAATACTGAGCAATGTTCATTTCCGTTAAGCTTTAGAAACAAATTAAACCTTGTATACGGCAGAACAAAGTTGATGCATTGCAAAATCAATTACAAGACGAATCAGCTCCAAAGACGACTTCCGACCACTTCACCTTAAAACAAAGGTTTCCCGTGGGATCATCGAAGTTAAACAATGTTGAGCATGGTCAGTACTTGGTTGGGTGGCCGATCGGGAATACAACTCGCTGTAAGCTTGGATGTGTGGGTGATGAAATAGATAATGATTTGGAATTGTTGATAGGAGAGCCCTGTTCCAATTCCAGTCGAGTTCGTTATATTCTCTTACGCGCAAACCCTCTTGGGAAAGCCATGAACGCATCTCTTGATCAGATGTCTTGCTGCCGGGTGTAGTTTATCGTCATAACTAGGACATCAAAAACTTAGAAAGAATGGAGTTTTCTTTTCGTTCTTTTTTTTTAATTGCGCTAAATATAAGAAATTGCGATGTTAAACGGAAATTCAATTCGCCGATTGCTTTTTGAAAGTTGATAACCATTACGCCAACTCATAATTCCGCGAGACAGAAAGAAAGTTCTCTAGAGAAAAAAAATACTCAATGAAATGTATGCATAACGTTAGTTATGTCCTTTGTTCAAGCGTGTCAAATATGATGAAGAAGACATAAATCAAGGAAGTTTATAATTGGGAAATTATAAGAAAATATTTGTTGACTCCTTCTTCATATTTATCTCGTTTAAAATTTGCAATGTTTAGTGGTGGTCGGGGTAAGGAATATTGGAGAGAGTGTTTATAGTTAAGAGGGATAAGAAGCAACAAACTCACAGTTTCATACGTTAAGTCTATAGCCTGCATCTATCTATTTGAACCACCTATCTATCTATCTATCTATCTATCTATTGCAATGTATTCATATCTATCTATCTATCGCAATATATTCATATCTATCTATCTATCTATCGCAATATATTCATATCTATCTATCTATCTATCTATCTATTGCAATTTTTTCATTATGTATCTATTGAAATCTGTTCATATCTATCTATCTATCTATCTATCGATCGATTGCAATTTTTTCATTATGTATCTATTGAAATCTGTTTATATCTATCTATCTATCTATCTATCTATCTATCTATCTATCTCAATTTGTTCATTATCTATCTATCTATCTATCTATCTATCTATCTATCTATCTTTCGCAATATATTTATATTTATCTACCTATATATCTATCTATTGCAATTTTTTCATTATGTATCTATTGAAATCTGTTTATATCTATCTATCTATCTATCTATCTATCTATCTATCTATCTATCTCAATTTGTTCTTTATCTATCTCTCTCTCTCTATCTATCTATCTATCTATCTATCTATTGCAATGTATTCATATATATATATATATATATATATATATATATATATATATTGCAGTGCTTTCATATATATCTATTTATCGCAATATATTCATATCTATCTATCTATCTATCTATCTATCTATCTATCTAAATATATTAATCTCTCCCCCCCTCTCTCTCTGTCTATTTTGCCTTCAATATGTCTTTTGCTTACGGCCATATCACTATGGCACACTAGTTCCTGTAAGATTAAAGGAATTAAGCAACATCTATCCTGGTTAGTATCTGTGTAGGTGTCTGCTTTGGAATATCAGGTTTTGTCAGCTTGGATGTGCAGATGTAATGGATAATGATTTCGAATTGTTAATCGGTGAGCATTGTTTCAATCCCAATTTGTTATATTCATTTACGCTCAAATACACTTAGTAAAAATGCATGATGCCACCTTTTCTCCCTCAGCGACCCTCAGTTAATTACTAAGAATTGTGTCACTAAACTATTATTACAATCTAAACATATTTTATGACTTTAAACCTGCAAAGGTTTGATAAACTTAGAAAGCGAATTAATGAATTATTACTATTATTATTATTATTATTATTATTATTATTATTATCTATGATTACTGGTGCGTGCTCATTTCTTTCCGGGTCCCGCCCAGAGACCTAAGGTCAGAAATGGCACCATGGCATTTTCCACTGAGTAATTGAAAAAAAAAAGAAACTTATTTTACATAGATAAAGCCCTTTTTGGTATTTCTTTAAGGCATTTAGTCTACTGCAAACTTTTCCAACCAATCCGACGGTTCCAACTACAACAGGGATTGTTGATGTCCCCATGTGCCACATTTTTGAGATTTCTATTTCAAGGTCCTTGTACTTTGACAGCTTTTTGAAGATATTCAAAGATGCATTGCAATTTGCAGGGACTGCCAAATAAATAAGGAGGTAATTTATTTTTGCTTGCGGTCTTTAATAATGATGTCTGGGTGATTAGCTTTGATTATTTTGTCTGTTTGTATTGTGTAGTCCCATAATATTATTACAGGTGCTATCTCCGTAACCGAGTTTGGGTGGTGTTCATACCAATTTCTTTCAGTTTCCTTTCTGTAGAAGTTGAAGATTTTACTGTGCAAATATTGGCCCACTCTGTCACGCCTTGATTTATATTCAGTGGGTGCCAATACCGTGCAAACTGATACAAGACAATCAATTGTTTCTGGATATCTATTACAGGATCTGCATTTTGGGACAACAGAATTCTTTTAGTAGTCCTGCTTGATAATTTCTAGGTAACAAGCATTGGTCCTGTTCAGCAAGCACAAAACCTTCGGTTTCAGGTTTTAACCTTGCACTACTGATGTGTACAAAGTTTGTGTACATAGATTTTGTTTGGTGAGTATTAACCGTGAAGCGGTTTATCATAACATTATTATTATTAATATTATTATTATTGTTATGGTCCAGGTTAGGACCAAGGAAGAACAACGCGAACACAAGAGTAGAAATAACGAAGCTATATTACACGAAAAAATAATACAAGATGTGGAAGGTGTTAGTATGACTGTCAGTCTGGTTTGGTGTGAACTACTATCAGCTCGACTCGATTCGGTATCTATCCCACACCCCAAAAGGGTTGAATGTGGCACAAGGCCGAGTTTAACGTGGGTCTCCCGAGTCCGTAGGCTCAGCCAAAAAATACTCGTAAAGGACACTTATGAACGGGATCGGGTTGGTCAACCTCCCCGAACGAGACTCTGCACTTCGGCGGAGCCTCGTCCGGGTTCCTCTCTGCTCAGAGACAGAGAGTTCGACCGTCAAGTCGAGAAGCTCGGCTTGATTCGGTATCTAGCCCCCCGAGCCCACGAGGGTTGCATGTGACACAAGGCCGAGTTTTTTACGTGTGTTTCCCGAGCCCGTAGGCTCGGCCAAAAAATGCCCGTATAACCCGTATAAACGAGATCGGGTAGGTCTTTCAGCCCGAGCGAGATTCTGCCCTCGGCGGAACATCGTCCGGGTTCCTTTCTGCTCAAAAGCAGAGAGTTCGACCGTCAAGTCGAGAAGCTCGGCTTGATTCGGTATCTTGCCACCACCCACGAGGGTTGCATGTGACACAAGGTCATTTTTATCGTGGGTTTCCTGAGCCCGTAGGCTCAGCCAAAAATGCCCGTATGACTCGTAAAAAAACGAGATCGGGTAGGTCTTTCAGCCCGAGCGAGATTCTGCCCTTCGGCGGAACCTCGTCCGGGTTCCTTTCTGCTCAAAAGCAGAGTTCGACCGTCAAGTCGAGAAGCTCGGCTTGATTCGGTATCTAGCCACCCCTGCCCCACGAGGGTTGCATGCGACACAAGGTCATTTTTATCGTGGGTTTCCCCTGAGCCCGTAGGCTCAGCCAAAAAATGCCCGTATAACTCGTAAAAACGAGATAAAGTAGGTCTTTCACACCGAACGAGATTCTTCCCTTCGGCGGAACCTCGTCCGGGTTCCTTTCTGCTGAAAAGCAGAGAGTTCGACCGTCAAGTCGAGAAGATCGGCTTGATTCGGTATCTAGCCACCCCCCACGAGGGTTGCATGTGACACAAGGTCGTTTTTATCGTGGGTTTCCTGAGCCCATACGCTCAGCCAAAAATATGCCCGTAGAACTCGTAAAAACGAGATCGGGTAGGTCATTCACCCCGAACGAGATTCTGCCCTTCGGCGGAACCTCGTCCGGGTTCCTTTCTGCTCAAAAGCAGAGAGTTCGACCGTCAAGTCGAAAAGATCGGCTTGATTCGGTAACTTGCCACCACCCACGAGGGTTGCATGTGACACAAGGTCATTTTTATCGTGGATTTCCTGAGCCCGTATGCTCAGCCAAAAATATGCCCGTATGACTCGTAAAAACGAGATCGGGTAGGTCATTCAGCCCGAACGAGATTCTGCCCTTCGGCGGAACCTCGTCCGGGTTCCATTCTGCTCGAAAGCAGAGAGTTCGACCGTCAAGTCGAGAAGATCGGCTTGATTCGGTATCTTGCCACCACCCACGAGGGTTGCATGTGACACAAGGTCATTTTTATCGTGGATTTCCTGAGCCCGTAGGCTCAGCCAAAATATGCCCGTATGACTCGTAAAAAACGAGATCGGGTAGGTCTTTCAGCCCGAGCGAGATTCTGCCCTTCGGCGGAACCTCGTCCGGGTTCCTTTCTGCTCAAAAGCAGAGTTTTCGACCGTCAAGCCGAGAAGATCGGCTTGATTCGGTATCTAGCCACCCCCCCCACGAGGGTTGCATGTGACACAAGGTCGTTTTTATCGTGCGTTTCCTGAGCCCGTAGGCTCAGCCAAAAATATGCCCGTATGACTCGTAAAACGAGATCGGGTAGGTCTTTCACCCCGAACGAGATTCTGCCCTTCGGCGGAACCTCGTCCGGGTTCCTTTCTGCTCAAAAGCAGAGTTTTCGACCGTCAAGCCGAGAAGATCGGCGATTCGGTATCTAGCCACCCCCCCCCCACGAGGGTTGCATGTGACACAAGGTCGTTTTTATGGTGGGTTTCCTGAGCCCGTAGGCTAAGCCAAAAATATGCCCGTATGACTCGTAAAAACGAGATCGGGTAGGTCTTTCACCCCGAACGAGATTCTGCCCTTCGGCGGAACATCGTCCGGGTTCCTTTCTGCTCGAAAGCAGAGAGTTCGACCGTCAAGTCGAGAAGCTCGGCTTGATTCGGTATCTTGCCACCACCCACGAGGGTTGCATGTGACACAAGGTCATTTTTATCGTGGATTTCCTGAGCCCGTAGGCTCAGCCAAAAATATGCCCGTATGACTCGTAAAAACGAGATCGGGTAGGTCTTTCAGCCCGAGCGAGATTCTGCCCTTCGGCGGAACCTCGTCCGGGTTCCTTTCTGCTCAAAAGCAGAGAGTTCGACCGTCAAGCCGAAAACATCGGCTTGATTCGGTATCTAGCCACCACCCCCACGAGGGTTGCATGTGACACAAGGTCGTTTTTATCGTGGGTTTCCTGAGCCCGTAGGCTCAGCCAAAAATATGCCCGTATGACTCGTAAAAACGAGATCGGGTAGGTCTTTCACCCCGAACGAGATTCTGCCCTTCGGCGGAACATCGTCCGGGTTCCTTTCTGCTCGAAAGCAGAGAGTTCGACCGTCAAGTCGAGAAGCTCGGCTTGATTCGGTATCTAGCCACCACCCACGAGGGTTGCATGCGACACAAGGTCATTTTTATCGTGGGTTTCCTGAGCCCGTAGGCTCAGCCAAAAATATCCCCGGATGACTCGTAAAAACGAGATCGGGTAGGTCTTTCACCCTGAACGAGATTCTGCCCTTCGGCGGAACCTCGTCCGGGTTCCTTTCTGCTCGAAAGCAGAGAGTTCGACCGTCAAGTCGAGAAGCTCGGCTTGATTCGGTATCTAGCCACCCCCCCCACGAGGGTTGCATGCGACACAAGGTCGAGTTTTGTCGTGGGTTTCCTGAGCCCGTAGGCTCAGCCAAAAATATGCCCGTATAACTCGTAAAAACGAGATAGGGTAGGTCATACACCCCGAACGAGATTCTACCCTTCGGCGGAACCTCGTCCGGGTTCCTTTCTGCTCAAAAGCGGAGAGTTCGACCGTCAAGCCGAAAAGATCGGCTTGATTCGGTATCTAGCCACCCACCACGAGGGTTGCATGTGACACAAGGTCGTTTTTATCGTGGGTTTCCTGAGCCCGTAGTCTCTGCCAAAAAATGCCCGTATGACTCGTAAAAACGAGATCGGTTAGGTCATTCACCCCGAACGAGATTCTGCCCTTCGGCGGAACCTCGTCCGGGTTCCTTTCTGCTCAAAAGCAGAGAGTTCGACCGTCAAGCCGAAAAGATCGGCATGATTCGGTATCTAGCCACCACCCCCACGAGGGTTGCATGTGACACAAGGTCGTTTTTATCGTGGGTTTCCTGAGCCCGTAGGCTCAGCCAAAAATATGCCCGTATAACTCGTAAAAACGAGATAGGGTAGGTCATTCACCCCGAACGAGATTCTACCCTTCGGCGGAACCTCGTCCGGGTTCCTTTCTGCTCAAAAGCAGAGAGTTCGACCGTCAAGCCGAAAAGATCGGCTTGATTCGGTATCTAGCCACCCACCCACGAGGGTTGCATGTGACACAAGGTCGTTTTTATCGTGGGTTTCCTGAGCCCGTAGGCTCTGCCTAAAAATGCCCGTATGACTCGTAAAAACGAGATCAGGGTAGGTCATTTCACCCCGAACGAGATTCTGCCTTTCGGCGGAACCTCGTCCGGGTTCCTTTCTGCTCAAAAGCAGAGAGTTCGACCGTCAAGCCGAAAAGAACGGCTTGATTCGGTATCTAGCCACCCCCCCACGAGGGTTGCATGTGACACAAGGTCATTTTTATCGTGGGTTTCCTGAGCCCGTAGGCTCAGCCAAAAATATGCCCGTATGACTCGTAAAAACAAGATCGGGTAGGTCTTTCAGCCCGAGCGAGATTCTGACCTTCGGCGGAACCTCGTCCGGGTTCCTTTCTGCACAAAAGCAGAGTTTTCGACCGTCAAGCCGAGAAGATCGGCTTGATTCGGTATCTAGCCACCCCCCCACGAGGGTTGCATGTGACAAAAGGTCGTTTTTATCGTGGGTTTCCTGAGCCCGTAGGCTCAGCCAAAAATATGACCGTATAACTCGTAAAAACGAAATCGGGTAGGTCATTCACCCCGAACGAGATTCTGCCCTTCGGCGGAACCTCGTCCGGGTTCCTTTCTGCTCAGAGGCAGAGAGTTCGACCGTCAAGTCGAGAAGCTCGGCTTGATTCGGTATCTAGCCACCCCCCCCACGAGGGTTGCATGCGACACAAGGTCGAGTTTTGTCGTGGGTTTCCTGAGCCCGTAGGCTCAGCCAAAAATATGCCCGTATAACTCGTAAAAACGAGATAGGGTAGGTCATACACCCCGAACGAGATTCTACCCTTCGGCGGAACCTCGTCCGGGTTCCTTTCTGCTCAAAAGCGGAGAGTTCGACCGTCAAGCCGAAAAGATCGGCTTGATTCGGTATCTAGCCACCCACCACGAGGGTTGCATGTGACACAAGGTCGTTTTTATCGTGGGTTTCCTGAGCCCGTAGTCTCTGCCAAAAAATGCCCGTATGACTCGTAAAAACGAGATCGGTTAGGTCATTCACCCCGAACGAGATTCTGCCCTTCGGCGGAACCTCGTCCGGGTTCCTTTCTGCTCGAAAGCAGAGAGTTCGACCGTCATGCCGAAAAGATCGGCTTGATTCGGTATCTAGCCACCCCTCCACGAGAGTTATATGTGACACAAGGTCGAGTTTTGTCGTGGGTTTCCTGAGCCAATAAGCTCAACCAAATATATGCCCGTAGAACTCGTAAAAACGAGATCGGGTAGGTCATTCACCCCGAACGAGATTCTGCCCTTCGGCGGAACCTCGTCCGGGTTCCTTTCTGCTCAATAGCAGAGAGTTCGACCGTCAAGCCGAAAAGATCGGCTTGATTCGGTATCTTGCCACACCCCCACGAGGGTTGCATGTGACACAAGGTCATTTTTATCGTGGGTTTCCTGAGCCCGTAGGCTCAGCCAAAAATATGCCCGTATGACTCGTAAAAACGAGATCGGGTAGGTCTTTCAGCCCGAGCGAGATTCTGACCTTCGGCGGAACCTCGTCCGGGTTCCTTTCTGCTCAAAAGCAGAGTTTTCGACCGTCAAGCCGAGAAGATCGGCTTGATTCGGTATCTAGCCACCCCTCCCCACGAGGGTTGCATGTGACACAAGGTCGTTTTTATGGTGGGTTTCCTGAGCCCGTGGCTCAGCCAAAATATGCCCGTATGACTCGTAAAAACGAGATCGGGTAGGTCATTCACCCGAACGAGATTCTGCCCTTCGGCGGAACCTCGTCCGGGTTCCTTTTCTGCTCGAAAAGCAGAGAGTTCGACCGTCAAGCCGAAAAGATCGGCATGATTCGGTATCTAGCCACCACCCCACGAGGGGTTGCATGTGACACAAGGTCGTTTTTATCGTGGGTTTCCTGAGCCCGTAGGCTCAGCCAAAAAATATGGTCATTCACCCCGAACGAGATTCTACCCTTCGGCGGAACCTCGTCCGGGTTCCTTTTCTGCTCATAACTCGGCTAAAACCCACGAGGGTTGCATGTCACACAAGGTCGTTTTTATCGTGGGTTTCCTGAGCCGTAGGCTCTGCCAAAAAATGCCCCGAACGAAAAACGATTCTGCCTTCGGCGGAACGAGATTCGTCCGGTTCCTTTCTGCTCAAAAGCAGAGAGTTCGACCGTCAAGCCGAAAAGATCGGCTTGATTCGGTATCTAGCCACCCCCCACCCATGTGAGGGTCATTTTTTATCGTGGGTTTCCTGACCAAGGTCATTTTTATCGTCGGGTTTCATTCACCCCGAACGAGATTCTGCCCTTCGGCGGAACCTCGTCCGGGTTCCTTTCTGCTCAAAGCCCGTAGGCCGTCAGCCGAAAATTCGGTATCTAGCCACCCCCCACGAGGGTATGCCAAAAGGTCGAGTTTTCGTGGGTTTCTGAAACTCGTAAAAAAAATATGAGATCGAAATGGGTAGGTCATTCACCCCGAACGAGATTCTGCCCTTCGGCGGAACCTCGTCCGGGTTCCTTTCTGCTCAATAGCAGAGAGTTCGACCGTCAAGCCGAAAAAGATCGGCTTGATTCGGTATCTTGCCACCCCCACGAGGGTTGCATGTGACACAAGGTCATTTTATCGTGGGTTTCCTGAGCCCGTAGGCTCAGCCAAAAATATGCCCGTATGACTCGTAAAAACGAGATCGGGTAGGTCTTTCAGCCCGAGCGAGATTCTGAACCCTTCGGCGGAACCTCGTCCGGGTTCCTTTCTGCTCAAAAGCAGAGTTTTCGACCGTCAAGCCGAGAAGATCGGCTTGATTCGGTATCTAGCCACCCACCACGAGGGTTGCATGTGACACAAGGTCGTTTTTATCGTGGGGTTTCCTGAGCCCGTAGGCTCAGCCAAAAAATGCCCGTATGACTCGTAAAAACGAGATCGGGTAGGTCTTTCACCCCGAACGAGATTCTGCCTTTCGGCGGAACCTCGTCAGGAGAAGATCCTTTGATTCGCTCGAAAGCCTCCACGAGAGTTCGACCGGTCAAGTTTTTATCGAGAACATCAAAAATATGCCCGTGATTCGGTATCTAGCCATCCCCCAACGAGGGTTGCATGCGGCGGAACAAGGTCATTTTTATCGTGGGTTTCCGGCTGATTCGGTATCTTGCCACCGTAGGGCTCAGCCAAAAAATTATGCCCGTAGGCTAAAAAATATGCCCGTTGTAACTCGTAAAAACGAGATCGAGTAGGTCATTAACCCCGAACGAGATTCTGCCCTTCGGCGGAACCTCGTCCGGGTTCCTTTCTGCTCAAAAGCAGAGAGTTCGACCGTCAAGCCGAAAAGATCGGCTTGATTCGGTATCTAGCCACCCCCCTCACGAGGGATTGCATGTGACACAAGGTCGTTTTTATCGTGCGTTTCCTGAGCCCGTAGGCTCAGCCAAAAATATGCCCGTATAACTCGTAAAAAACGAGATCGAACGAGAGGTCATTCACCCCGAACGAGATTCTGCCCTTCGGCGGAACCTCGTCCGGGTTCCTTTCTGTTCAATAGCAGAGAGTTCGACCGTCAAGCCGAAAAGATCGGCTTGATTCGGTATCTTGCCACACCCCCACGAGGGTTGCATGTGACACAAGGTCATTTTTTATCGTGGGTTTCCTGAGCCCGTAGGCTCAGCCAAAATATGCCCGTATGACTCGTAAAAACGAGATCGGGTAGGTCTTTCAGCCCGAGCGAGATTCTGCCCTTCGGCGGAACCTCGTCCGGGTTCCTTTCTGCTCAAAAGCAGAGTTTTCGACCGTCAAGCCGAGAAGATCGGCTTGATTCGGTATTCTAGCCACCCACCACACGAGGGTTGCATGTGACACAATGTCGTTTTTATCGTGGGTTTCCTGAGCCCGTAGGCTCAGCCAAAAATATGCCTGTATGACTCGTAAAACGAGATCGGGGTAGGTCTTTCACCCCGAACGAGATTCTGCCTTTCGGCGGAACCTCGTCCGGGTTCCTTTCTGCTCGAAAGCAGAGAGTTCGACCGTCAAGTCGAGAAGCTCGGCTTGATTCGGTATCTAGCCACCCCCCAGGAGGGTTGCATGCGACACAAGGTCATTTTTATCGGGGTTTCCTGAGCCCGTAGGCTCAGCCAAAATATGCCCGTATAACTCGTAAAAACGAGATCGAGTAGGGAACATTAACCCCGAACGAGATTCTGTCCTTCGGCGGAACCTCGTCCGGGTTCCTTTCGCTCAAAAGCAGAGAGTTGACCGTCAAGCCGAAAAGATCGGCTTGATTCGGTATCTAGCCACCCCCACGAGGGATTGCATGTGACACAAGGTCGTTTTTTATCAGCGTTTCCTGAGCCCGTAGGCTCAGCCAAAAAATATGCCCGTATAACTCGTAAAAACGAGATCGAGTAGGTCATTAACCCCGAACGAGATTCTGCCCTTCGGCGGAACCTCGTCCGGGTTCCTTTCTGCTCAAAAGCAGAGAGTTCGACCGTCAAGCCGAAAAGATCTGCTTGATTCGTTATCTAGCCACCCCCACGAGGGTTGCATGCGACACAAGGTCATTTTTATCGTGGGTTTCCTGAGCCCGTAGGCTCAGCCAAAAAATGCCCGTAGAAGTCGTAAAAACGAGATCGGGTAGGTCATTCACCCCGAACGAGATTCTGCCCTTCGGCGGAACTCGTCCGGGTTCCTTTTCTGCTCAGAGGCAGAGAGTTCGACCGTCAAGTCGAGAAGCTCGTCTTGATTCGGTATCCTAGCCCCACCCACGATGGTTGCATGCGACACAAGGTCATTTTTATCGTGGGTTTCCTGAACCCGTAGGTTCAGCCAAAAATATGCCCGTATAACTCGTAAAAACGAGATAGGGTAGGTCTTTCACCCCGAACGATATTCTGCCCTTCGGCGGAACCTCGTCCGGGTTCCTTTCTGCTCAAAAGCAGAGAGTTCGACCGCCAAGCCGAGAAGCTCGGCTTGACTCAACCCTCTCTCTTGAGAGGCGTAGTATACATAGCGTTAGGAAGAGTTCATTCTGTAGTTATAGGTAAGGACCCATGACAATTATAAATGTTATTTTTAGTGTGTACACGTATTTCAGTTGCTATACATATTTTTACTTAAAAGGATATTACTAACAACCGGCGTAGCTAGCAGATACAGATTCGCAGAAGTCATTAAAAAGAATTCCTTAAATAAGTAGTTCAAACCTGGACCTATCGACACCGCATCAGTGGCCAAATTTCTTGTGACATGTTTCGGCTATAAAAATGGTATCCTTAATGGGGAAAAGGGAAACAGTTTCGATACCTGACGGCGGTACAATATTTCTTTAGTAGAACTTTTAAATCTAGGTCAGTTATTAATAATTTCTCAAGGGCAGCAGCTCAAATAGCAATTTAAAAAAATATTTATGATAATAAGAAATAATACTGGTTAAAACTAACATTCAAGAATTACCATCTCTTTGAGAGTTCTTCGATAGCGAATCAGTGATATTTGGGGAACGATTTGCTTGAGTAAAACAGGAACGTTGAGCTATATACAAAGGTATGCCATACTGCCTGCCAGCTACGAAATGGCATGAAATATTAATTATCTATGTCATATTTATGGAAAAAGGAGATGAAATGACACGCAAACATTCAAAAAAATAAACCTAAGGACAACAAAATGTGTATGTATCATGTCTGCCATCTTCGCGCCAGAAGTTTGAAAAGTTTCCTCAGTTTAAAGAATATATATATATATATATATATATATATATATATATGATCACACACGTACAAACATACACAGATATGTATATACAGGGTGCGATAGATAAATTGTTGTTCAAATTACGCAAAAATGAGAATACTGATATCTCCTTTTAACAGATATATTTAAAAAATTGCTCAAAAATATCGTGTAATACTAAAGAGTAAATTTCTTCAATAAAATCGCCATTGGCGTCAACCACGGCTTTCAGGCGATTTCGGAATCTCCTGCAACTCTTTTGGATGGTCTCCTTGTTTAAGTTGGAGAACGCTGCCATAAACCTTGCCTTCAGTTCATCTTTCGTGTTACAAGAATTTTTGTTGATCTCCCGCTCAACTGAGTGCCACACATAACAATCAAAGGGCTTTCAGTATGGGCAGTTAGGTGGTCAGGTGGTCAGATATATGGGGTGATGGAGTCGCAGAAATTGTCTGACAGACACGACTGGGTTTTCCTGCTTGTTTGGCATGGAGTAGAGTTTTGTTGCCAGATATAGGGTCTTCCAGCAGTCACCCACTTAGCCCAGGGTAGCACTAACTCCTCAAGGCACTTGATGTAGGCTTCTGTGTTGAATCGAAGATGAATGGTGGCATAACGTCGCCATCACACGTCATCACTCTAAACACTATGATGTTGACTGGATATATAACCTCTTTTCGAATCATCTTGACTATCATCAGATTGACACCCAAACACACTGAAATATTCGTATTGGAGATTCCGGAACGATTGTCAAGTAGTACAGCATGCTCTTTCGATATTTCTGGCGGAGTGAATTGTGTTATGGTGCTCTTTTTCTCACAGACGGTGCCCAACTGACCCTATTATACTGTGAAGTTGACAAATCAAAACCAGAAAACGTGCATGCACGAAATTAAAAATATAAAATGTCGATAATTTACCGATAATACTCTGTATATATATATATATATATATATATATATATATATATATTTATTAAAAATTGAACAAAGTCCGACAATTTATTTATTAAAGACATTTTTATGTTTTAACGTTCTTTTTTTTATAGATACAAGTATTTAAGTAAATGCTCTGTTTATAATAAGCAGTATTAAATAACATTTACCGGCCTGAATGTCCGAGAAATCTTCCTCGAAAATATTCGTCCTTTGACAGGATTCGAACCTGCATCCTATACGGAACCGTCCTTTACGCTGACGTGCCTTAACCGATTCGGCCACAAAGGAGCGTTCGGTAAGCAAGTAAATTCGACCTTGCCTACCGAACGCTCCTTTAAAACGTTAAAACATAAAAATGTCTTTAATATATATATATATATATATATATATATATATATATATCTACAAAGTTTCTTGGCTGGCTGGCTGCTGCAGCATCTATAGTTAATGCACGTGTGTGGTGTCGCGATCGATCTTACTATCTTCAGTAGCAGGTTGGGTTACTAAAATCAGAAACTTGCAATGAAACATAGCATATCATTGATGTTCCGCTTCAGCTTACCTATATAATCTATGTACCTCTATAGGAGTATATCACTTTAAACTAGGTTCCTCCAATAATCCGCTGAAAAAAAGCATACCATTGTAATAAAAGGCCTCAAACGTAGTAAAAAGCAAAATTTTATTCTCAAATTGTTCAAGTTATTATTAAGGGGGAAAGAACAACGTATTGATAATTATTTAAAATAATTTTTCCTCCTTTCTAACACGTTTGAAATTTGGATGAAGAATTTTTTTTGTCAACTCTGTAAGACTTGTGGTAATGGACATTTTCGTGTAGCTGTTTCCGGTAAAATGACATTAATTTCGAAATTCTTGTAAAAATTAAATAATTGTCGGATTTTATGACGTATTAAAAAAATGAATGAATTTATGTTCGAAATTTTTATTTTTAGAAAATTTTAGTAAAATTATTTTTACATCTTTTACTCACCGTGTTATTTAATTTCATGAAATTTTATAGAATTTCAAATCCTTAAAAATCGTTTTATATTAGTTAAAAGCAGTACTCATGGGAGAATGTAAATCCTCAATTTTTTTCCCCCAGCTATCATCAACTTTTTTAACTGCCCCAAATCATAAAATAAAAATAACTGCAATAGAACTATCTAATTATTTAATTCGATAGAGTTTTGTTTGCTCTTATAAATAATATATATTAAGGACATTATTATCTGAAGAAAGAAAAATCGATGAATAATGAATTTTTTCAAGAATTGTTTGCATTTTTCTGGTTTTAATTATAAAGTTTAAAAATGTTTTAAACTTCTTTCAAGCATCGGTTCAAACAGCTTATTAAATTATTAATTGAAGGCAATATTTACCATGTAAAAATTAAAAAGCTTAATATAAATCATCCCATAAAAACATTTTACAATAATTAAAAATATTTTTTTGCGTGACTAAATGTTCTTTTTTTTAAGTATGGTATAAACTAAGTGATATTATTGTTAAAAGGTCACATGTTTCAAGACTTGTTCTCCTTAGAGAAAAACCATTTAAAATTTCTTTTTTTCCTATTTTACTAAATATTTTAATTTTCCGTTGTATTCATCTTACTTTACTGTGTGTCATGCGGGTGCCTGCTCTAAACGTTATTTTAGTGGATACACATATTTGGGTAGACACTGCATTTAAACAGTATATTTAGTCTCGCCTACAGTCCTAAATATTCGATAAATCTTATTGAGAAAAATTTAATGGATTAGTAAATAAAAAATCCATTTCATCTCTATAAATTGCTGTATATATATATATATATATATATATATATATATATATATATATATGTGTGTGTGTGTGTGTGTGTGTGTAAATTAATCAAAAATTTATCTGTAAAAGAACAAAATGAATAAAAAGACAAGATGGAAAACTACTCTCAGCTGACGCGTTTCGCCCTCTAGGGGACTTTATCAAAGCAAAATTAAGGATTTATTTTGTTTTAATGTGTT